CAGACAGAAATATATGGTGATTCTGCTTCTCAACACTTCTGTTTACCTGAACCTTGATTTGTGGATGAGAGAAGATATTAAAAAGTCATCTGAGGGGCCAGAAGCAAGGTGCAACTGATTAAGTGCTTCCTTCCATACCCTGGCTTCCCAACAGGAGCTGGTTCAACTTCCAGATGTGTCACTTTCCCTCCAGTTCCCTGCGAATGCATCTGGGGAAGCAGCAGAAGACAGCCCAGACACGTGGTTCCTGTTACTCACCTGGGAGTTGCAGGCTCCCGGCTTCAGCCTGCCCTGGCCCTGGCTTCTGCGGCCATTTGGGAATGGAAGATCTCTCCTTGTATTTCTCTCTGTAGCTCTGTCTTTCAGACAAGCAAACAAATAACAAATAAGTAAGTCTTTTTAGAAAAGAGTCATCCCACACTTCTTAAAAAAATTCCTAATTAACAACTGCATCCTGATCATGGAGACAGACCCATCTTGTTTTTGGTGAAATCCCAGTAATGGAATCCTATAGTGTTTCTCAGTAATTCATTTTCAGGGTGAACCAGTCTTGAGCAACAGGATGTGTCACCCCCTATGGAACATAAATAATCCCGGTTGCAGTGACTCCGATTTCCCAAGCCACACCAAACAGGGGGCAAAGTGTATTCATAAAGGAGTAACCACTGATACTTCTCCGCATCTGTTCCTACAACATTAGGAACTTGAGCCTCAGTTGAAACTCCATCGGATCATCCCGAGAGTCCCCAGGAGAATTCTGCATGTTGCATGGCTTGGTTCCACTTTCCTTTGACTCTTCTTTGGCTTCCAACAGGTTACTGCCCGGGCAGAAGAGGAATGCCGCTCTCCCCCTGAGGCTCAGCGGCCACTGTGGTGGCATAGTGGGTAAGGCTGTGGCCTGGGATGCCAGCATCTAACAAGGGCACTGATTCACATCACGCTGCTCCACTTCAAATTCAGCTACCTGCGGACTCAGAAAGCAGCAGAAGGTGATCCAAGTGTTGGAGCCCTGCTACCCAGGTGGGAGATCTTCTGTGACATCTGGGCAGTGAATAAGTGGATGGATGATCTCTCTCTCTCTTGAGCTTTGACTTTCAAATAAATAAATAATTTAAATTAATTTCCCCCCTTTTAAAAAGACATATTTGTTTTTATTAGAAAAGCAGATTTACAGAGAGCAGAGATCCACTGGTTCACTGCCCAAATAGTCACAATGGTCAGAGCTGAGCTAATCTGAAGCCAGGAGCCAACGGGCCCCAAAAGTTGGGTCATCATCTGCTGCTTTCCCAGCCCATAAGCAGGGAGCTGGGTAGGAAACAGAACAGCCGGGACATGAACTGGTGTCCACTTGGGATGCTGGTCCTTGCACTGGCAGATTAGCCTATTGAGCCATGATGCCAGCCCTTAAATAAATAACTCCTTTTTAAAAAAATGAAAACTAAGACTTGAATGTGATCATTCCTCTGCCTGCTTCACATCCCACAAATATTTTAGTAAAACACAGCACTCAGCTTTTTCTAAATTTTTGAATGTTTTCTTTTTTTTAAAAGATTTATTTTTATTATTATTTTTTATTGGAAAGGCGGATATACAGAGAGGAAGATCTTCCGTCCGATGATTCACTCCCCAAGTGAGCGCAACGGCCAATACTAAGCCAGGAGACTCTTCTGGGTCTTCCACGCGGGCACAGGGTCCCAAAGCCTTGGGACTGTTTTCCCAGGCCACAGGCAGGGAGCTGGAATGGAAGCGGGGCTGCCGGGATAGAACCGGCGCCCATATGGGATCCCGGGCGTGCAAGGTGAGGACCTTAACCACTTGTGCCACCGCGCCGGGCCCTTGAATGTTTTTCAGTGTTAACCCTCAGATGTGGCAGAGGACAGTGTAAGTGACACAGATGGTGATGTGAGTGATGGATGGTCTGTCTACAAAAACACAAAGAACATGCACTTGGCTTGGACCCTTACTGTTGATACGACTCCCAGGGTACTTGGAATTGTCTTTCTTCTTCTGGTTCTGTCTTCACTCTGAAGTCTCCTTTATCTGTCTCCTAACACTGTTTATTCCTCCTCAGACACAGCCAGGTGTGTCCAGGGTTTGCAGTCAACATCACTGGCTCAGAGTGGACTCACAGCTGTCCACAGAGCAGATGGACAAGCAGTCCTGCCCAAGAGGAGAACCACCTTAGCTTAAGTACAGGCGTTTGAGAACACAGATCTATAGGAGTGTGTCCTGTATTAGGTTCCGGCTTTAGGGAACTGCTGTACTGTTATTATTATTATTTCTTTGCATTTGACTTGTAGTCTCACCAAATCCAAAAACTGCGTGTCATCTGACTCGTGCACTCCTTATAGGAATGCCAAAGAGGTGACCGCTATAGGAGTAGATGTAGATGAGGACTAGGATGATTTCTATAAACAGATGTCTGCAGCAAATGCCCAGTGAAGTGTCTGACAAATGCTCAACATACACCACGGTGCTGAAAAGTTCATGAAAATACAATTAGAATACAAGTTTGGTGGAACGAATTTTGAAATCCATGCATAAGAAATGTCTGCAGGAAGTTCAAGGATAGGGCTTGTAGGGTGGCATAGCATGTTAAGCGTCTGTCTGTGGTGTTGGCTCCTCAAATGGGCACCAGTTTGAGTACCTGCTATTCCACTTCCTGCTAACGTGTCTGGAGAGTAGCAAGAGATGGGTCTAAGTCTTGGGCCTCTGAACCCATATGGGAGACCCAGAAGAAGCTCATTGCTTTGAATCCACCCAGCTGCAGCTGTTAAGGCCATTTAGGGTGTGAACCAGCTGATGAAAGATATTTCTCTCTCTTTGTCCCTTCTTCTTTCTGCGTATATCTACTTTCCAAAAAAAAAAAAATCTTAAAAAAAATTCATTGAAATGTGTATTGGGAAAAACTTATCATGAGTTATATTTTTTAAAAAAGTTTGAATTGCTCATTTATTTGAAAGGAAGAGAGGGTGATAGAGTAAGAGTGAGAGCTAGAGAGAGAGGGAGAGAGAGAGGGAGGGAGTGAGGGAAAGAGAGAGAGAGAGAGGGTTCTGTTGGTTCGTTTCTCAAATGAGCACAACAGCCAACTCTGCAGGCTGAAACCAGAGCCAGGAACTACATCCCAGTCTCCCATGTGGGTAGCAGGGACCAAGAACCTTGCCATCTTCTGGTGCCTTTGCAGGTGCAATAGCGGGAAGCAGGACTGGAAACGGAACAGCCAAGATTGGAATCAGGGCTCCTGCGGGGGATGTCAGTACTGCAAGCAGTAACCTAATTTGCTGCACCTCTTTGCTAGTCTGGTTTCATTCCATTTTCCACAGACATTTTAAAGCGCTCTTCCATTTACTGAGTTGAGCTGAATGTCCCAGCTTCTCAACCCCATGTGACTTCAGAGTTCCTTCAAGGTTTTCCTTAATGGGGTTCTTTCTGCACATGCTTTTTTCCTTGCTGGATAGCCAGCATTCTAAGGTTCTCTTAGGTGCAGTCTGAGACCTTTAATCATCTCCGTAGCTAGCTCGGAACGACTCCTTCATTCCCTGTGTAGCCTTCACGTGAGAATCACAGCATAGGCTGCTTCCTGTCACAGTGGTGCTAAGCTTCTAAGCCTTTCCACAGGAACTTAACATTATGACAATTGGGCGGTTTCTCTACCTTGCTTTTCTGCTTGTAAAGTTGCTCACACTTTAGCATGGTGATGCCCCTCCATGGTCCCTTTCCACTCTCTTCTTCTTCTTTTCTTTAACCTGTCTGCCCCATTTCTCTTTCCACCTCTCTATAGGGCTGCACAATCCAGGGAGAGGGACAGGCAGCGAAAAGCTGGCAGTGGCTCGAGGGCCAGGTGGACGAGGCCGGCTCCCCCAGGAGAATGGGTCTTCTCTGGTTTTCTGTTCTCATCTCTCTTGCTGCATCGATCTCCCGCCCTAAGTCCTTTCTTAGCCTGTATCCCCTGTATCCACTCACAGAGAATCAACACTTGAGGGTGGCTCAGCTGGGGCTGGAATGCTCCAGGCTCTGAAGGGTTAAGGTTGGAGCCTGGCTGATGGAGTGGATTATTAGTCTCTTCTTGGAGAGCCAGCCACAGTTCCTCCCCTGTCGCCCACACACCCCTTTCACATGATCTCTGGCCATGGCTGCAGAAAGAGTGAGAAGGGAGGGGAGAGCGCAAGTTTACAAAATAATTTAGAAACTTCTTGTAAAGGTTTGTATTTTCATTTAGCAGCATAAATCCGGGATAGCTAACAGCTCCTCAGAGGCAGTGGCCAACTGGGAATTGAGTGAGGGGGAAAAAAAAAATAGGAATCCTGGACTCTGGAACTATCCAGTTTTTTTGGAGGGGGGAGGGAGAGGTGGTGTGGGAAACATTTTTGGGGAAGAGATTTTTATCAATATTTTTTTTATTTGGTGGGGGTGGGTAGAGCTCATGTGTTGTGGTTTCATAGCCCAAACACTAAAGAAAAACTCCCTATGTGGACCCAACTGCCCTGACCCTGCAATCAGAAGGGACGCTGAACTTGAACTCAGAACCTCAGCCCCAGTGAGATCACCGAGATGGGGATGGGTGTCACAGAGCGGGGACAGGGTCTCCATCAAACCCACTGGACCTGGGATGGATGCGCGTGGGGATAAAGCAGAAGTGAGCTATGACTTTAAGTCGGTCCTATGGTCATACATATTTTTCTTCTATGAATGGGTTTTGCTGTAAATTATAGCTTTGCCCGTGGTCCCTTGGGTCAAAAGAAATAGTCTCTCAACAGAAAACAGCTCTGATTGGTGACTTTCTTGCTTTCCTCCCCAACCCCCTTCCTAATTGAAACCAAATGTGCAATATATTGGATGCTGGGATCCCTGGCGCTCTCCCAGGAATCCTCAGAATGTGAGGTTTCTCTCAAAGGCATCTTGCATCAGCCGGTGGATGTATGCCTACCACCGCGCTCCTTCACCGGCAAAGTGGAAAAAGGAGCTTTCACAACAAATTCTTCTTTCGGGGTTGGGCGAACGCCGTTGGATTACAGCTCTGTTTTCTTGGTCCCCCAACTGTGCACCCCCGGATGAGAGTAAGTGATATGGGTCTTTTTTTTTCCCTTCATTTTCTTCCTCCTCCGAAAATGAAAGCTCTGCTTGGTGTCTCAGGAAAAGTTTACAAAAGGAGTCAGAAGGAAGTAAGTTTCGAGTCAGGCACAGGAACGGAGGGGAACGGGGTACCGCTGGCTGGAGAGTTCGTGGGGTGGGCTGGCGGCGATGTGTTATGGAGGGGCAGACTAAGGAACACTAAAAACCAAAGAAGGCTCAAGTGTAATAAATGAATCCATAGCAGCTGCGAGGCACAATAAACAGCCTGAGTGGGGCTGAAATTGTTGGCAGGCAAGACAGGCCGATTGCAGAGTGAGCTTCAGGATGAGGAAAGCGAACCAAGGGAAGCCGGATTGGGGGCATCTGGTGGTGGTGGTCGAAGATCTGAGTTTTGGAAGGGACGTAGACTGAGTCTTTTTTTTTTTTTTTTTTTGTCTTCCAGGGGCGTCGCTGATTTAATTGGGAGAGTTTAGCTTTGGATGAGGGCTGTCTTCTGTCAGGCTGGGGCTGGCTGTGTTTGCCGGGAGGCAGTGGCATGGAGGCGTTTCTGTTGGGGACGATGGACTCCTTTCCTGGACACTGTGCGCTGGCGCGGGCGCCTTTCCCTTTGTTGCCGGATGGCTTGGGGCTGTTCTCTCTCAGTCGAGACCTCTCGGAGACCTGGCAGAGGCCCAGGAATCCCATGGGAAGGGAAAGGGAGTTCTTCCAAGAGTGGTCGAGCCTCTTAGGCCAGCCATTTGAGTTGAGAGTTTCCTGTGTTCAAACCAGTAGGGTGTTGAGCAGCACCATTTTGCCGACTCTCCGCTTTCTGCAGCCTTCGGTGGAGGAACACAGGGCGAGCGAGGTAGAAAGGACCTTCGAGAACTCATCAGACCCACTGATTTTGGAGGTGCTAAAGCGGGGTAGGGAATGGGCTGACCTACTCAGGATCACACGGCACATTGGTGGCTGAGGTGAACTTGAAGTTGAGGTTCTTGCTGTTATTAAGACAAGTGCTCTTTTCCACTCCACGCTGCTAGATTCTTGTTTCGTTTTCAGGTTTGTTTCTGTTGAGACAATAGAGGAAGATTCAGTAACAAGTTACCACGTGGACGTTGGTCATTACACAGAGAGGCTGTTAGTAGGGGTGTGCTTTCATCAGCCAATGGTTCTGTGGTGAATTTGGTTGTGTGTTCAGAGTAGAGACAACATTCGCATACTAACTTGTACGGGACTCCAAGCATAGGGCTTTATATACCTTATCTGTTGGAATTTTAATAGTTCTACGTGTTATTATTTTTATCTCACATAGAAGGATATTAAAGCTTAGAGAAATGAGATGCCGGAGGGAGTAGAGCTAATATGTTTCAATCTCATGTATGTCTGACACAAAAACCCGGGCTTTGAATCACTATGCAACAGTACTTCCTCGCCGCCCCCCACCCCCCAACTCCCCATGCAATTGGTTACTTTTGGAATCCATTCCATGTTTCCATATGTGAGCAGATGTTAAGCCATCAGGCTGGGGAGCAATGTGGATTCTGTCTCACAGGCCACTTTTGCACCTGCATGAATATTTATCTAGAGGTACGTGGGTTTCTTTAGATACTTGGTATGTTCTGAGTTTGGTTGTGCAATGGGCCCAAGTTTTAATCTGAAGATGCAGGCTGAGTTCTTGGTAAAGTTGTTTTACTTGGCTTCTGAGTCTGTTACACTGGAAGAGCAGTGACACTGGTTAGTTTGAATTCATGCTATTGAGCATGAATATATGTTTTGAAGGCTGTGGAGGGAGTGAGCACATCAACTCTAATGGGTAGATTTGCTTCATAGCAGACCATCATGGGAGGGAACTCCTGGTCGGTGGGCTCGGGCAGTCGGTGCTGATGCTGGAGGTAGGGCAGCTGGGTTTGGTTGTGTGTGGAACTCTGAAATGACTGGGTTTGGTCTCTGCACCCATATCCTTTGAATAATTACTTTTTCTGAGGAATGTTTGTGGATTTTCTTGTCTTTCCTTTGTGGCTTGGTCGGACAATGATATCTCACCCAAACAGCAGAACCTGAAGGATGCTGGGCTTGGAACTGCACTTTTTTTTTTTTTTTTTTTTTTAACAAGTAGGGATTCGAAAGTACCAGTCTACTATTTGCTGTTCAAAGGAAGTTGACATCTGAGGAGCTTCCTGTCTGATTGGGGACAGTCCTGCGACCCAGGGTCCTTTCATCAAGGGCAGGCACAACTCCCTTCCTGCTTTGCTTCATGTTCCCTGCTCTGGTCGTGCTGCCAGAAAGGGTGCATCTGCTCTTGGGGGTGAGGAGGGAACGGCCTCACCTCTCTTCTATTCTATCCAACGATGAAGCATTAGAGTTGCGTGGGGAACACTTCATGGCACTGATTCCCAGTCCTCACTCTTTGATATCCTGAGAAAGCCCTTTCCAGCATGTTTTACTTAGAATCCTGAACAACGTTTATGTCCAAGTGCAGAGTGAGAGTACCACCCTTCCAAGGAGCCTGCTCACCCTCCCGTTCTCTCCTAACCTCTCAATGAACTCCCTGTTTTCTTTCCCTCTTGTGTGATCACTTCCTAGACTTGAAGTCCAGTTAATTCTCCATCATGTGTAACAAATTTAGCTTAAATCGCTCTATGTGACTTCAGTTTGAATAGACACTCTAATAACATTAGGCTGCCTCTCCCCACCCCCCGCCCAGGTATTAAGTTAGCATTGACTCTCAGCCATCCTTCCCAAGTTCCCTTACAAGCTCTACTTTCAGGCACTTTACATCACCTACACCTCAAACATAATCCAAACACATGTCTCACAGGCATCCAGAAAGCAAACACCCATCTAAAAATGGGCCTCCACAGACATGCTAACGCCTTGTGCCAGCTTACATAAAGGGTTACCTGTCCGTTACACAGACACACTGGGTTCTTTATCCCTCCTGCCCTGTTTGAAACTTGTGCAACATATGAATCGATCGAGTCTCTCCCAAACAATGACTACTCAGTCTAGAAACAGGTCCAGGATTCCCAGGAATACCATGGCTTCTGTGAATTCAGCATTCCTCATTCATAATAAATTGGGGATCTCCAGTAGATCTTGATGATTTCCAAACCAATTAAATCAGGATATCTAAGGGTGAGACTTGGGACTCAGTGCCTGGAAGTGTTTCCCAGGCAATTCTAATGTCAATCAAGGTTAGAAACCTGTGCTGATAAATAACTCGACGTGTTGGCTTGGGCAATTCAGTTCTACTCTTTGTTTAAATTCTGTTCAACCAATATTGATTGAGAGCCTAATTACTACAGAAACACCGTACTTTCAATTTTAAAAATATTTAATGTCACTTAATAAAAGAACAGAGATGCCCAGATAACCTGTTCACATCTCTATTGAGCTTGTATTATTCATATATAATTTGGCCGAAAAGGATTCTCTTATTTCTATTTCTTTTTCTGTTTTCACTATTTGCCCTTAATATTTTGCACATAACTACTTCATGGTTCCAAAATTCCGTAATTTTCCAACTGGAGTATCCCAGCAGTTGGCAATGATGTACTTCTTAGCTGAGATCTCACTTTGGCCACCAAGCACTGAGGAAGGCTGCTTTTGAACTAACCCAAGGATTCTTGAACATGCAATGAAAAGGCAGAGAAGTTATAAACACAGGGTAAGACTGACTGAAGCTCTGGGGTTCAGGAGTTTCTGAAGCAGATGTTGTCATTAATGGAACTGATCATTCAATTTTCCGTGGCCTGTGTTTGGTGTCTATAAAGGGCCAAATCTTTGAGAAGCTCATTGAGCCTGCTGTGAGGTTAATGCTTCCCAGTGCTCTATAATGTGGGTGGGAGCCAATGGGCAAAATGCAGAAGATCACATGCATGTTGTGGTATGAAGAACCAGTAGTGACTTTTGGTCCCAGTACACCCCTTTCTAGATGTTTGACCTCAGAAGAGACTTGCGGGCATCACTGTGGCTCCATTTCCTCCTCTATTGCTCATGGATTTTTATGTTCTCCAGTTAGAGTTCAGCTGGAAAGCACAGAGTGTTTGAAGGTGATAAGTGGAGATTTCCGTTTAGACATACCTCATCCTGACCTCAAGGAGCAAAATGTGCTCTCGTCCAAGATTGTCCTTAATGTTCTCATGGCTAAGGCAGCTGAAATACATTGAGAGAGGGGACAGATTAAAATGGATGGAGTAATGGATTAGTTGAGTATTGTTTTTTTCTTTTAAATGGTCCCGAGTTTTAAAAACCAGCTATGTGGCAAGTTTGGCCACAGTTTCCTTGTTTGCTGTATTAATTTATTCATTGCTTAACAAGTTAGTTGCCTGCTGCTGCTTTGTCAGATTCTGTGCCAGCTTTTAGTGATCAATTTGGTCACAGACATTTATAAGTATTCATTGCTTTATGTGTTCATTGGTTTATGTTTGGAGAACATAACATGAATTTTCCCAAAACTAGATATGATATCTTGTTATAAAGGATTGAGTTTGTGAGATTTTGTTTTTTAATGTTTCAGGAAGTATAATTTAAAAATAATCTCAGAAGTTATTCTTGTGTGGTGATTATCAATAGTCATGTATACAAAAAGATCGATAATTTTATATTTCATAATTTCTTTAAAAATTGATAGACTGTATTTTATTTTTAGACATATAGAAAAGTTGAGCATGGAGTACAGATTTCTCATGCACTGCTACTCTGTAAATACAGATTTCCTATTATTAATGCTTTATAGTAAGGTTATATTTTATTCTTCTTCAATTAATCAATATGTAATTATTAGACAACTATTATACTAGCTATTAGCAGATGTGAAAAAATAAACTAGACTTTTGCCTCCAAAGTTATTTAGAATATGTTAGGTTTACAGTTTGGGATCTATGATTTATTTTTAAAAATTACTGTGTCCTTCACTTATACCTAATTCAGGGTTGAACACAGTATCTAGACATAGTCAACATCTATAGATAAGTGCTGAATCTATGAACAAATGAGCATAAAG